TACGGTACTTCTATTGGGGCAATAAAAATCCTTTTTGTACATTGTTACACTCTTAGTAATATACTCTTTATTGTTGATGATAATTTTTCCATACCGGTGTTAAATTTAGATCATAGTGATAGTAATGAATTCTATCTTAACGAAAGATATTATTCTAAATTTATACGTAGCAATGATATACAATAAGAAAATACGTTAGTATCAACTAAGGCATTAAAAGCTACTAAAATAATCAAAATATTAATTACTGATTTATTCAATACAGACTACTTTTAGATAAAAAAGAATGAAGCATAAGCAGACAATCAATTTATAAATAAATGCTTGGATATTATTTGTTCATTCGCCTATGGATGATAAAAAATCTTGTAGCCTTCCTTTTTTGTTACTTTGAACGAATAAATGAAGAGTCTGAGTTAAACACAGAGAAATATTGTCATCCACTTGACGAATTTCCAGTATTATCTCGATCAAAATAACTTATATTTTCTTCTATTCAAAGTATGGGCATGGTTAGCGATGAATAGCTGCAACATGTATCTTTTTTAATGGGGTAGACTATACTCAAGGTTATTCAATACGTATAAATTCAATGCAATAATTACCGTTCTATTAACACTGTATCATCCAAAAGATACAGATGTACCTTATGCGGTAGTTGTTAGCATGGATAACATTGAAAACTACTGAAACTAATTTTCGCTATTAGTAAAGGAAATAGGGGATGACCCAAATAGGATACCAATAGTACCAGTATTCCATTATTACCATATTACGATGTAAAGTCATAAGCGTGTCAAATAAATATTGTTTTCATCACCGGTAGTGATGGAAATCATCAATCAAAATTCGACTCAATTGTGAATTATGACTATCATCCTACGCATCATGAATATGTGCGAGAAATACAAATGTCGGAAGTTTTTCCTTATTTTTATATACCATAATAAAAAATTGACTGTATATGTAGTCAATCTTTCATATTTTATTCATCAATCCTATCTTATTGTTCATTACTTTGTTATTGTAACTCTTTCTCGCTACCGTAGATCTATAATAGTGAAATATCAAAACAAGCAATGGTCAATTTCTAGTATTTAAATTTATCTAGCCATTGTTTGCATGCCTACCACAACTTTGAACAATAATCTGCTACTGGACTGAAAGGTATATATAGGTGGCGATTTGATTAAAAATTTCGATCCATTTAACGGTATACCAACGATTGGCTTAAAGCTAAAATCACTTTCAATCTCCGCCCTCTTCATTGATTATAAAGTCGTTATACGATATCATATATTTCTTAAATTAGAATCATGCTATCCACGTTATCATTACTGACACCAGGCAGAATGTTACAGATTTGTGCTTGGATTGTATGTATACAAGTCCATGTTTGCTTTGGTCGTTCAGCTCAAACAAGGTAAGTAAGACCGTAATTTCATATTTCGCTAAAATACGATATCATAAGGAGTAATCAATGTAAATTATTACAGACCATATGGAAGAGTTGTAGTAGACACAAATCACTACAATTACTGAATAGCCATAATTATATCCTTGACAATATACAGTAATTTGTTTCTTAAATGTCGGTAATAAATGCTGTTATCTTTCCATATACGCGGTCATCAATTTATCATTATACTAATTTCCAGGCAAAATAATATAATTTTACAGAATTTACTAAATGGAAGAATAATTTTAGACTTAAACAGAAAAAATACTGTACATCATCAGATTGATAAAGATCTTAAAATTCATCGCAGTTGAGGTTTTAATTTCATCAGTCTGGTGTTTAAAATTCTTTGTTTAATTTCTGATTTTAAAACTAAACATGAATAACTCTGTAGCTCAATGAACCAGTCAAACACTTCGCAATTTCTTAAATTAATGATAATCTATATAATTATTTATTAAATGCATTCATAACTACGTAGAGTTCTGGTCATTAGCATCAAATAATGATAAATGCAATTAACCTTTAATTTTAAATTTATTAGTCATACTGTAAGTTAGCAGCCCATTCTAGACAATTGATTACAGTATAATAATGGAAAACTTGCTAAAACTAAGGTTTCATTTCTAAATATAACGTACATCTCTAACGATAACTTCCTTCCTAACAAGATTAATTATTGTGTAATTAGTAATATTTTGTCAGCTAAGTGAAATTTGATGCATCAAAAATCTTTCGTTTAAAATCCATAGATGAAAGAGATATCACGGTACTGTATTGCTAAGTAATATGGATGTTTTAGTGAAGATTAATAAGATCTTGATACTCGTACTTTAAATCAAATAAAATAATAAATTAACTTAGGTGATTGTGATTGCTATCACACTTAGAAATTTAGTATAAAGGCAGTAGTAAAAGACTTTGCGATGAAAGTTTTATAAGTTTTATTTTATAACTATCTCATCACACCCCTCAGTAGTCTATGAAAAGAGGAGAGAAAAAAATAAAAATGATTACATAGCCGTATGAAATAATATTATCATTCTTTCAGGTACAGATTAAAAAAATGACAGCTAAACAAAAGTAGTGACACTATCAGTGCAGCTTTGCAACATTTTGGATTATATTCGCTATGATTTCGATGGTCAATAGTAATGTACTTTGAATACTTTTAGTTGTACAGGGTTCTCATTTCTGTTAACTAAAAAGAGAACTTCTTACTTGCGTATTAATTTATTAACGTGAAAATTTTTCATGAAATGTTCTGTTATGATCAATGTCTATTTCGAACGGTCATAATAAATAGTGAATATGCCCCAGTAAAATATTTTAGGATATTGGATAAACTAATATAATTAGTTTTTGATTGAATATTATTGATAATACGAAATACATCTTTTCCGCCTAACTGTTAATGCCGCAAATGGAATATTAAAGTTATTAGAATGTTAAGCACTTAATTCAATCTCATATCAGATGTATGCTGATATTCATAGCTGCAATTATTTATCGAGTAAATAGATCGTTGAGATAATTCTAGTTTGTGGGCATATTCATGCACTTTTTAGCCTGACAAAACAGCATATATATCATTTAAAATAAGCATGCTATTTTTAATTATAAAAGCAAACAATAAGAAAGCAGGACTAAGATAACTGTAGCGTGGTACAACTTAAATACAGCTATTAATAATTTATTAAACTTCAGGTATTGATGATTTCAGTTTATAATTGAACCCATCTTTAACTATTTCCCGACATTGCAACAATTGTCTGCGATGTAAATGCCAACATTGTTCACCAGTCGATGATCACAATTAAAAATGGTGTTATGATTAAACACCTTTTAATATTGTTTATAATGCACTTCTTAGTTTAGTACTTTAATCTATCATGTGAACTGAGCGATAAAAATTGGCGATCGAAGCGTAACTATTTATTGTAAAGATATATCAGTAAATTGAATTCTAATCCAAACAATTTTGCTTCCTTTTTATCTGTTCTGCTATAGTAATTTGAAAGCTGGTGTCCCTTCTTTAAGGATCCCGGAATATGATGGGCATGACGATAGTACAAACAATTTATTCCTCGTAAGTTTTGGTTATTATAATCAATAAATAATATTGATACCCCAGTCTATAGCCTATAATAAATACGGGTAAATTAATTGAATAATTAATCTTTGAATTAAACAAATGGTAATGTCATCACCAAAGCATTCCGTAGACGTTGAATCGGCTAATACATTCTTAACTTGTCTTATTACTTTAAAGGGAGAGTTAAATTATTTGATCGTAATGCTAATGCTTAGTGTTATCTGATGTGCGAATTTCTTTTATGGTGGCTAATTTCTCACAGTACTGTAGTTGTTAATCATTTTATGAGCAAAAATAATTCATAATGATAAATTTATACTGCAGTCAGCTATGTATCGGGGGTGATATAAAGATAAAATTTTTTACTTAACATATCAGACAATGATAGTCAACATCAACTCAATCGATTTCCTTCGCTTAGAGTACCATCAAGGGACGATTATTGTTTTCATGAGCATTAATTCCCGACAGATCGGGTAAAATTTTAGATGATTCTGGTAATATCCCGGTATTGCTTTGTCGTAATCGATATGAGTCTCAACATTAACAATATCAAATGGACGCCGCCGATGCTTGAAAAGGATTTCGATTACTAGTGAAAATAGAAAGTGTACATATTCCAGTAGAAAACAGTTTCATATTGTCAGTTTGATAGAAATTTGGAAAGGTGATTTTAATCATTCATAGATAAGGTTTTGATTTAATTCCATTTAAAGTACGATTAAGCCTATTTCTTTCTCCCATCTTAGAACATTTTAATTACTAAAATCATTCAGTAGTTATTTATTTCGATACTTTAAAGTCAAAATTTACTAGCCTACTTTTAAATTTCTATTGTTAGTTTATGTGATTCAGTTGATATTCTCTGTTTTTCGCTTATATAACAACTATATATAAATCAGGATTCCCATGTTATACTTTTAAGTTAGTAGTCAGACAAAGGTGCTCATTAAACTTAAATTGTTACCTTTACTTAATATTCTATACGCTTGCAGTACCCAGCAAAATATTTCGGTCTAGTTGAGTCATGAATATAAGGGGGTAGCGTGACTTCCGTAGATCGAGTTACAAAAGATTTATTACAATTTAATATTGACTTAGCACGAATTAATTTAACCATGACTCCGTTTTGTTCTTAAATGCTATATGCATAAAACATCAGGGTTAAGCCTTTTAAGAGATATTACTGCTAACGAAGTTAATATATCGCATTTCTTATTCTACATTTAGGCAAGAGCAAGTGAAAGTAAGATGTCTGCAGATGCGAAAGGTAACGTTAACTCTTATGATTTTTATTGATAATTATATAGGCTGTAAATATCAGAGTTACATCCGAGACCATCTATAACTAGAGATAATGGATTGTCAGAAAGATTCCATAAGGACTAAGCAATAAATGAGATTAAATAAGTATAATTAAAATTATTGTATTCTTTTATTTCAGACAACCGCTGTGATGCAGGATGGATTCATTATAACCTCAACTGTTATCGCGTCTTTCAGAAAAGCAACGAACGCCAAGACTGGAATAGTGCGCAAGCAGAATGTAATAAGCTTGGTGGCAATCTGCTTAGTATACTAACCTACAAGGAACAAAATTTTGTCCAAAATAATTTATTGTCGACTGGAGTAAAAAAATCGTATTGGATTGGGTTAAACTGTACTAGTATTGATGACAATTGTCGATGGCAAGGTATGCCTACTGCCAATCCATATTCTCATCGATCTAACAGAGTAAAAGATGATGGCGTGTCAGAAATGTGTATGGAAATCAATATGAGAACGAAGTTTAATGGCTTATGGACAAGTAGAAATTGCAGTATAAAGCAGCGTTTCATCTGCAAAAAAGGTATGTAGATGTTATAGCATCCGGTTCAACTAATATAAAAAGAATGCGCACGAGTAGCTATCACAGCAACGCTGATGAGCAAAGTATTACGATTGTAAATTTTACTTTTCAGCTGATTACGTAAGAAACTTTTGAAACGTCTTGACTTACTTTCTAACTTAATCCTGTTTTCCCATTTCTTTTAATAATAGGCGCTAAAAATATTAAACTAAATTCCATTCATCGCCAGTGTGGTGTCTCTTATCATAACGATTACAGTTTACTTGGCTTACGTATAAAACGAGTGATTCATGGTACTAAAGCTTCTGACTACATGGTGCCTTGGCAAGCTTTCATTCAAATTAAGCGATCCGATAACAAAATAGTTCGCTGTGGTGGCTCATTAATTGATAAAAAATACATTATTTCAGCCGCTCATTGCTTTGATAAAGTTTCAAAAGAGCCTCAATCAATCCGTATCGTTTTAGGAATTGTTAGGTTAACTGATCTAGAAAAAGGCAATATGCCCTGGCAAACACCGGCCGAGACGAAAAAAAAGAGCCAAAGTAAGCATCGATTAGGGGAAAAGATACTATATTTATCGCATGACGATTTAAACATTCATTCAGCTTATGCAGGTGGTTGTCAAGGTGTTGGCAGATGTACCATACGTGATTTTAATGCTGATGTAGCAATACTTAAATTGCCATCATCTGTACAAACTAATAGATACGTAAGAACGCTTTGCTTGCCTAATAAGAGAATATTAAGCAGCAACCTTGGCAATTTAGACTGTCGCGTTGCAGGTTGGGGCAATACCAGAGTAAGTGGTTCAGTTTCTTACCCGAGGTATTTACGTTGGGCTATGGTATCTATTCTTGACACAGACAAGTGTAACAAATCAGTGGCCTACCGTAATAGTATCACAAACAATATGTTATGCGCCGGCAAGTGGGAAGGCGGTGTTGATACATGTCATGGCGATAGTGGTGGACCATTAATGTGTCGCTTACCAAATAGCCCGTGGATGCTGATGGGCATTACAAGTACTGGAAAGGGCTGCGCACAGCCTATGTCTCCAGGAGTTTATACTAAGTTATCATCTCCAATCATTAATAACTGGCTGAGTCATTTTATACAATAGGATGATACTTTTTCTACTTAGGAAGAGATTTTAAATGCACTTCTGATAGAATATAAATACTAGCTGTAGAATACAGTAGAACAGCTGTTTAAAACAGTAAATTCTTTAAAGGACACTTGATTGCAGTATCTAATACTAATTTCAGGTTTACAAGAAATACAACTAAATATAAGATTAAATGATAACCTTTATATTAAATAATGAATGATATTAAAAATTGAATGAATCATTGCGCAAATTATAATAGCATAAAATTAGATATCAGATATCGTATAATTAATTCACAATGCTATTTATATTTCTTCAAACAATGCCCATTTAGCTCCAAGCATTTTAATTGTGGCCTAAAAATTGTTTATTTTAATAGCTCAATCGCATACTCAGTATTACAAAAGTACACATGTGTCAGGAGGAAACTGCCTCATTTTTTTATTTCTTATTTAATTTTCTGTCGACAGAAATTATCCATTATATTTGTAGAGCTAGCATTTTAATTAATTGCTAAAATAATTAAATTAATTACTATATAAAATAAAGTAATGAATGTTTACATGTATATATTTGAGAGCTATAAACATGATTAGATATACGCGTATACAAATATAGATCTTTAATTCTACATTTTACAAAATTTAACATCATGATTACAGTGTTGGGAATATTATATTAAAATAAATACTATATGTAGAAAAATTTTATCGTTTTACTAAAGTATGCAACGTATATGAATATCTATTTATTCAAACTGTATTTATTGCGTTTAAATATATATATATATCGTAAATAATAATATACTGTATTGGCTTCATTAAAAGCGTCTATAAGACGGGTAAATCTCTAATACAAGTTTTACTTAAATGCTAAATAGTGAATAATATTAAGAATGTTATAATTTTATATTATTGTTTCACTGATAAGGTTAAATAAAGATAAAAATAATATATTCAGACCTTGCTACTTCTAAAGTCACGATATTGAAGTATATTATATATATATTGATACTTTATACGAATACTTCTATGTAACTCTCTGAATTTAGCAATGTATGCGTATTGCTATATTGTATTTATTACCTCTTGGTTAATGATGCCAGTATTTCACGTGAATAAAGGCTTATTAATAGACTCAAATTTTATGTATCGGTGGAAAATTAAATGCTTATGATAAATGATTAAGCAAGAACGGAAGGATAAGCGCTAATGAGACGCTGCATTATTGATATTTGAATTAATTTTAAGTCGCTCTTAGGAGCATTTAAGTTTATTACTAATTTCTTTTTGAGCCAGTTTTACTGGATCTTGCGATGATACCTATTAATTTTTATGACGTTGTTCCGGCGAATTTGGAAAAGGCACTGATATCGGATGTATTTTGTTCTAATTACTATTATAACTTGCTTTTCAAAATTAGCGATTAGGATTTTGTGTTGGTCATGCAACTTAGAATAAGGCTAATGTATCCATTTTAATTTACCTTCCCTGCCCAGCTTCAGCAGTGTATGATCGTCCAGTGTTACAAGAAATAATTTCTTGTTTGTTGTGGAAATGATCAGTGGCGATGTTTCCACTTTCTATATTTGTAAATTGTTATACAAATACAGTAAATGCAGAATCTGCATTAACCTCTTTCTGGCGTAAGATTAGATTGGTATTAACCTAAAAACCTGAACTGTAGTTCAAATATTTAAATCTGAATTTCCCAATACTATATAAGAAAGCCCTCATCACAGACATCATTGCATGCATTAGATTGAATTTGCAAATCTGTATTACGGTATGCAACCAGGTCATGCACCAGCTTATATGGGTAAATATGAGCATACTGAAATATGCTACTCACTACTCAGTAAATAAGTATACGAAGTATCTCGAGCTGTAGCTCCACTAATAACAATTATACATGATTAATAATGTCCATATGCTTAAAGTGTTGATGACAGAAATTTTTTGATGCAAGATGCTCACGACAGTTTCTGCATCCTTCGAAGTTTCATATTCCGTAAATATGGTAAGGTGCGATGGCTTCATTGAAGCTAATGCTACTGGATTTGACCTAGGACTGCTAGCGGGTAAAAATCTTCTCGTTTTTATTTAGAATCGATACAAACTTTCACACAGTATGGCTAATTCAGTATCGAATGAAATAATATGCTGGAAATTGCGTCGCGATTCATTGCTTGGAAGACTTCAAAGTTGAAGTTTTAAGGTCTCATAGATTTGAACATGCGCAAATCAATGGATTTTAGTAAGACCGCCAGTTTCTGTCCGTCGGCTACTCTGTGATTCACAGTTCAGCTGCAGGAATGGCGAGTCGTTGATCGTTACTATAGTAACGCTCGCTACCAAAGGCTCATGAAGGAAAAGTGAGCTGAAATACTAGGATACTGGTGTATCGATCGAGTAAGGTATAATAATCTATCATAAACTGAACTTCAACGAGAACCGATCCAACTGCTAGAATTTCTACTTTACGTCTAGGAGGTAATTAAAATCATTTAAGCATGATATAAAATAGACAGTTTCGAAATAGATACTGAATTCGTATACTGTTGTGATATATGACTGTGAGATGACGCTTTATTTTTTTTACCTAGTCGATTAGAATCTTTCAACATCATTTGTGTTTACAGAATATTTTTGGTTATGGAAAATAATTCAACGAATAGTTATGTCATTCGACCAAACTTTAGAAATAAGTAAGTGTGGTTCTTCTTTGGCCAGATGTAACTCAGACAAATGTATTTACCTGTTAATAATAGGATCGTTAAACGTATTCTGAATTTGCTAATACGAAGTAGAACTGTATCAAATAAATTCAAAATGCTGTGCAAGATTCAGTGATTGTATGATGTATTGGGATTACAGCAATCCTGTAATTACTATACCGTAACGGTTGGAAAGAAACTTTGCGATTATAATTATGAACTATTATTGGAAATTGTTATATGTGTATTTAATTAGTATTGCTATCTACGGTATTTTGTAAAATAGTGCAAATGGTAGGAATTTAAATGTATTAAATTAGCATCAAGTTCACATTTTGCATTCTAATGGCAGATTTCGAGCTGCGTTAGTAAAAGACGTAATTCATGGTATTTTACAAGAGGAATTATCAGGCAAAAATTATGATGCCCAAGAAGCTATATCATGGACGAAAGTTATCACAGATACTATTAAACTAAGGCTGAAAGGTTAGAGGAATAGCTTATTTTAATCACGTTATCATCGATTTATATTCATCACTTTATTCGATCAAGTCTTTCGATTGTCTTGTAGAGCTTTTAAACATCTGTAATCGTATTGCAAATATTTCGGCTACTAACTCATTTTAATATTGTTACAGAATTAAATTTCGATCGTTATAAAATTATTGTGCAAGTTCTTATAGGAGAACAACGTGGTCAAGGAGTACAGTAAGTGATAATATCTCAGATTTACAAGGACGTCTATTAATATTTGATTTTTGGTATATTTGACAGTAATGTATTGATTTTTAGCATGATATTCGAGTACATTCGTAGTTCATTGATGTTGCAAATCTTAGAGTTATTATTACAGTGCTTTATACTATATTAGTTAATAGATATTGTAAAGAGGGTTCTACTGCATAATGGCTTGATGTATCAATGATGCTGCGCACATACTACGAATTTATCGATATCATCATTTTGTGATGTTCTTCTATTACCGTAGAATGGGTTGTCGTTGTTTCTGGGATTCGGACACGGACAACTACGCACAAGATATATTCATAAACGTATGAAAATTTTGAATAGAATTTAAGAATTATTTATGCATATTTTAATTTCGGATTCTAACAGATTTGCGATCTAACTTAATATTATAAAGTTGTTATATTAAACGTTTAATTTTTCATTATTAGCCTTTATTAATATTAATTGATTTGCTCAATATTTTATTATAGGAGAGTTTCTTTTGCATAGCAGCCGCATATGGTATATTTACGTACTAGGCACAACTTGATTTCTTGGATTAGCATAATTTTTGTGATTTAGCATAGATCATGCTGCAGCTAATTTATTAAGTTCAGTTAATGATTTCATGTTGATTATGGCACAACATATATATATATATATATATATTTAGAATTGAAAGTTATCTCTTACTCAGCTCTTCGCTACTAATACGAGTATGTACTGTAAATACTGATAGCTTCTTTATTGATGTAATAGTATATTCATGTTAACTAAGGAAAGATTTCTTCCTATTTCCAAGTGTAACTATTTATAAAGATCGATAATACAAGTATACGTAAAATGGTATCCGAGTAGACATAAACGTCAGTTATATGCATACTAACTTGTCATAATATAAACTGTAGTCTCTAAAGCAGTCAATTGATATCGAGAAATGTTTTATTTTCCATCTCGATCATTTAAGATTACGAAATTCTGATTTACTGCATTACTGGTGACTTATGATCCAATGGGTTATAACTGTTTAAATTACTTATAGTGTTGCGGCTGTCAACTTTAGAGCTACTTCTATCTTCGTCGAATCTGGAAATGTAGATTTGGCAAATAATAAAAGGACGAACGAGTAGTTTGATCTAACAGTATGGCAAAATTTTACACGAAGGCATTAACATTAACGTCGCCGAACTGCGCAAAGATTTTACAGTCTCAAGTTGTTTTTGGTAGTAGATTGCATCCAGATCGCAAATTCTTCATCATTCTAAGTTACTTATAGTGCTACGGCTATAAACTTTAGAGCTACTTCTATCTTCGTCGAATCTGGAAATGTAGATTTGGCAAACAATAAAAAGATGAACGAGTAGTTTGATAGAACAGTATGGTAAAATTTTACACGAAGGCATTAACATTAATGTCGCCGAACTGCGCAGAGATTTTACAGTCTCAAGTTGTTTTTGGTCGTAGATTTCATCTAGATCGCAAATTCTTCATCATTCTAAGTTACTTATAGTGCTACGGCTATAAACTTTAGAACTACTTCTATCTTCGTCGAATCTGGAAATGTAGATTTGGCAAATAATAAAAGGATAAACGAGTAATTTGATATAACGATATAGCAAAATTTTATAAGAAGGCATTAACATTAACGTCGCCGAACTGCGCAGAGATTTTACAGTCTCAAGTTGTTTTTGTTCGTAGATTCCATCTAGATCGCAAAATTCTTGACCATTCTGGTTGGCAGGGAAGTACTTTACTCTACGGGGTGGGGGTAGTATCAAAAATTTTATACTCCAATGCTTTAGAAAGCTTAATTTTTGAAACGTTAGGTTCGAAAGTGATATTTTTTATGCATACGTGAGGTAAAATTAGCGATTTTTATTTTATTGATAAAACATATACGCTTAGCCACATGGAAATAAAGCGAATTATGGCACTTCAACTTTGAATTCAACAGTTTGACAAGGTATACAAAAGTATTATGAGACAGTAGCTTACGATAACGTAAAGGCCGATATACCTTTCTGTTATTAAATTAGAGCATCCAAATTTTACTTAAGACGGGAGAAAAGAGTTTTTGCAACCTAAAAGTAAGGTAATGAAGACATGTTACGAATATGTTACGTTTTTACTTTGACCATAAAATTAATAGCAATTTATAAAGCAATAAATAGCTTTCAACTTTTTTTGAATGTGAAATATTGTAAATATGGTACTTACACATTTATCCGCACAATGCATAAAATCGAATAATTCTTGCGTACAAGTTTCTTCAGTATTACTACGACTATTTACTCGGTCATTACAAGTCTCATAAACACTTTTTAACGGAGCACATTTGGGGGACTCTCCACATTCTTCGAACAAAATAGGTTTAGGATCGATTGGACCTTCTTCTTCTTCTTCTTCTTCCTCTTCTTCAGCGTTGCCTCCTTCCTCTTCTTCGACGTCGCCTCCTTCCTCTTCTGGTTCTTCGGTTGGCTCTTCATCTTCTACCTATATATCATTAGCAAGACCAAATTAGGGTCATAATGTATCCAAATTTGGAACATTCAATTAGTTATTATATTTGCGTTTCGACGGTACTCGTAGATAGTAATGTAATACTGTAGCAGATGCTGTACCGTGCCTAGATAAACTGTAGACTACCAGAAGATTGTCTGGTAGTTTCTTGATAAGTTACTAGTTCAAGATGGTTTGCTACGGAGTAGAGATCTTGATCGACTGTTAGCAAACTATTGAGAAGAGGGGTCCACAGTGCTGTCTAGCTCGATTTGCAATATCGTACTGTAAAGGGTGATTGTGTGAATTGTCTATGCCGAATCACTCGTCAAGTATTTTGTTGCCAGTCATGCACTAGCATTAGTTATCGCATTAGTGGGGTATTACTAGGCTAGCGAGAGTAATTTCAGTAAGTTTAACGCTACCACGGTAGTTTAGATGTCAACATAATGGCAGTTTTTGATGGGGGTTAGGGATTTTGCGGTTTGTGAAGGTACCGGTAAAATTGGAACGCATCCAAAGATAGAATATGGTATGAATATTTTAGATGATGCCACTACGAATAGCTCTTGTTGTATACAGATGGATTTAAGGCATGAGAAATTTGGATACCATCCAACGAGTGGGCTATTCTCGGATTATTGTGTTACTACTCTAATTTGCAAATGTGTGTATTGTAGAGCGCGCAGCGAGCATCCATTTCGCATTTGGCTGGAAGGCTGTCCATAAGGGTGAAATTAGGAAATACCAAAAATTTTGAGTCATTTTTAAAGCTAGAGGTACTGAATGACCATGAGAAGACGGCAAGGAAATTCATCGATACCCAAAATGGCCGATACAATACAACATGAAAGTAGTTTCATGTCGAGAAAGACTGAGGGGAATCAATATGTTGGCTTGCCAATGATAGCTAGCGTACGTGCAATATCCAAGTTTCAAGTGTAGATGAGTTGAGTTATGATGGTGGAATTGCGTCTAGTTGGAAATTGTGAAGGTTTATGCTGGGAAAATGGATTGAGCGATGATCCATTGGTTACAATATGTTTTCAATCAACAATTATCAAGTGGATAAGCGAGAGTATATCGCAATTTTGGTAGTAATACCTCTTCAGTAAGGGTTACTTCCTCTTCTTCAGTGAACGCCATCTTGTCGCGTGTGATACTTTGATCTCGTACGAGCAGACGCAGATGAGCAAGTTGATTTAGTGCTGTTACTGTACTCTCTTCCCCATACAGACTACAGTAGTGTGCAATACAATGTGTACACAGTACTGCAGTGTTTACAGTACGTGTACTGTAGTCTCTGATACTGATGATACAGTAGTACTGTACAGTGTACAGTACAGTGTACACTCAGTGTACTGTACACTGTAGTCTGCGCAACATTACGTTATCATTTTGCACAGCTGTCCAATGTCCAGTCATGGACTGCTACACTATTTCGTGTTGGTCGTTAGCTCATTTTTGGTAATACCATATTGAATGTGGGTAGGACTAATTAGGAACCCACACTATTCGTTTGTCCACACTAATTGCCGTCGGTCGTGTAGTCGATTTCGTCGATCTCCTTCCTTGTAGAAGAACATCTTCTACAGCACTCGAGGAATCGATGGTCCTAGTGTTCTGGGACCACCTTGTGATGGCGCATGCGCAGATTGACTAATGAAGACCCTCATCCTCTCTAGTCTACTGTAGACGTCTGGTACTACAAAATGTTGCAAACGCTGGGCAATTACTGTACTGTACAGTGTACACTGTACAGTATTTACTGATGGTTCTTGTGTTCTGCCACCACCTTGTGATGGCGCATGCGCAGATTGACTAATGAAGACCCTCATCCTCTCTAGTCTACTGTAGACGTCTGGTACTACAAAATGTTGCAAACGCTAGGCAATTACTGTACTGTACAGTGTACACTGTACAGTATTTACTGATGGTTCTTGTGTTCTGCCACTTTGTTATCGCGCGTGCGCGGACTGACGAATGAAGATCCTCATTGACTCTAGTCTAGTACTACAAAATGTTGCAAACGCTGCGCAATACAGTACTGTACAGTGTACATAGCAGCATGGAAAGTGTATACTGTACTGTAGACGTACTGTCCGTCATCCACTCTAGTCTAGTACTACAAAACGTTGCAAACGCTGCGCAATACTATGCTGTACTGTACATAGCAGCATGGACAGTGTATACTGTACGCTGTACTGAGTGGACACGTACTGTCACGTTGCCACCCAACAGGTTCGCAGGTCATACGCAGTACACTGAGTATACTACAGTCGATTGAAAATGATGTCAACCGCCAACCGTCATCAATGGAAGCCTCATTCGTGTTTTTGTAGACACTGTAGTCAGTGTAGTGTATTTACTGATGGTCCTTGTGTTCTGTCATTTTGTTATTGCGCGTGCGCGAACGGACTCATGAAGACCTTCATTGACTCTAGTCTGGTACTACAAAACGTTGCAAACGCTGCTCAATACTGTACTGTACACAGCAGCATGGAAAGTGTACAGTACAGTACACTAGACCTGATCATTTTGCATAACGTGCTTTTAGTGTACACGTACTATCGCACTTTTTCACTCTACAGGTTCGCAGGTCATAGGCAGTACACTGAGTACAGTACTACAGTGCAGTCGATTTGAAATGACGTCAACCGCCCAACCGTCATCCATGGAAGCCTCATCGTGTTTT